TATAATTTTACTATAATTCTATTATAATTCCTATTATAATTTTATTATAACTCCAACTAAGTTTTATTATAACTTCAACTATAACTAAAAGTTGGAGTTATAATAAAGTTATAATAAAATTATAATAGGAATTATAATAGAATTATAGTAAAATTATAATTCCAATTAATTTTATTAAGTAACATAATATTAATAATATATTATTTAACTAGATATCTTATTTTCAATATTATAAACTTTATTAACCTATTATAATTTTATTATAACTCCAACTAAAAAGAAACAATATATTATTAATATTATGTTACTTAAAATTGGAATTATAATTTTACTATAATTCTATTATAATTCCTATTATAATTTTATTTATAACTCCAACTAATTTTAAGTAATATAATATTAATTGATTGATCGTTAATGCTAAATGAAGAAAGAAGTCATCTTGTTATTTAGATTGTGTGCAACAATTCGATAACAATTGATAAGATTATCTGTACAATACTGCAGTATAGATTAGACACACTTAAAGGATTGCGACAAATTAAAATATCTACGTTAATATTTCCATCTGATGTATAAAAATCATTCTGCATAGTAAGGAAGAAACGTACCTCAGTATTGTTCAGAGAAACATTGTCATTGTTCTTCAGAGATCTTCTCGAGAAAGATGAGGAAGAATCATTCGCTGCCACCACGTGTGACTTGTGACAAATCCTTTTAATATTACAGTCGTTCGTCTCGCAAGATTCTACAATTTTTGCGGAACATGTTTGCATTCGTGGGCACACCCATCCACGACAATGTTCATTCGTCGTTTCGTTCTCTGAAAAATTGCAAAGAAACAGTAGTGTCATTGCATACACGCTGTGTAACATATGCATTTAACAAAAATTTAATATTGAAATTACCAGAGTAGCTACTGTTTTTTAGAGTACAATGAATAACCCCTTGTAAAATAGTTGAACAATATTATATTAATTTATTTATATGTTTGAATTGATTTTCTTTATAAATTTATAGTAAAATTACTATCGAATGTAGCCAGTCGTCATGACATCAATAGAGAGATACAATTTATAGAATCGTTCTAATTATTAATTGAATTTCAATTAAACTTCACCTGTTGCCATTATACAATCTGGTGTATGTCTACAAGGTGGACTCACACAACTACTCTCTGGTCTTCGTAAGAAACATTCATACTCCGACGGGCAACCAAGATTCCGACATTTTACAAATAAAAGCTGCACATCTACGAAAACAATCATTTATTTATATTGTAAAATTTATTTGAGAACGACGTCTGATGTTGCTGACTTAAACTTAAATTTCTACAATAATAATTAGACTGGTATAATAATAGTAAATTGTTGTGGCAGTAAATATAATTATGAAATTTAGTATTGTTAAAATAACTGTTGATAAAGAGTTTAATCTTTGAAGGATTAAAAAGGGTGGTAGATTGATATTTGACAAAAATTACGAATATTATTAAAAGTCCATGTTATATAGTTTACAACTATAGTAAATGGTAATTGTTACAACTACATATAGTAAAATATTGTGGTACGATAAGTATTTAAAAAATTTTGAAAATATAGTAACGTAGAGGTAATATGACCTTTGTTCTTCATGCATGTTTGTATTAATTTACAAGGAGGGTTGGCACAGAACGATTCCCGGAGGATACAGTGATTTCCTTGAGGACACTTGAACCCGGCACAGGAAGCTGGACCTTCGTAATATTCCTTCTGAGATACACATCTTGCTATCTGTTGCTCACATTCTAATTAAAACGCAGTTGGTTTACATGCGCATGTTCTATGAAATAGTATATTTCTGATTTTTTTAAATTAAAGAAATTAGCATATGTAAAAGTTATTTTTCACTAAATATATTTGGTGTGATAGTAATTATGTAAATTTTACTAATTACTAAAAAGTTTTAATTACTAAAGAAATTAGCATTATATGCTATTCGTAATGGATTTACAGTGATAATTTTAAAGAAATGTGGACATGTTTATTTTTCTTAATTATCTGAATATATATTTTATTGAATACATGTTAAATATAAATATATAATTAGAAAAAAGATAAAAATGTATATGACACAGAAGAATGAAAAAGTGATGAATCAAATTATTCTTGTTATAAAAGTGATAAATGATTCATAAAAAAAAGAGAGAAAAATTCTATGAAATAGTATATTTCTGACTTTTTTAAATTAAAGAAATTAGCATATGTAAAGGTTATTTTTCACTAAATATATTTGATGTGATAGTAATTATGTAAATTTTAGTTACTAAAAGTTTTAATTACTAAAGAAATTAGCATTATATGCTATTCGTAATGGATTTACAGTGATAATTTTAAAGAAATGTGGACATGTTTATTTTTCTTAATTATCTGAATATATATTTTATTGAATACATGTTAAATATAAATATATAATTAGAAAAAAGATAAAAATGTATATGACACAGAAGAATGAAAAAGTGATAAATCAAATTATTCTTGTTATAAAGTGCAATATTACTCACTTTCGTCCCAGTGACAACGACGAACTTTTAACATGCACATATATCCATTGGTGCAATGTACAGTGTCGCAAGTAGAAGGACCTCTTAAAGATTCTGAAAAAAAGAAAAAAAATCTATTACAACTTTTAACAATAAACTGAAAAATCGAACTCTGTAATTTAGCACATAATACACTTCTACTTGCAAATCAAGAATTTTTTCCTTCATTCTTTGCAAATAACTCCGTTCATTTCGAATTAAAAAGAATTTGAAGT